GGAGATCTTTGGGCCATAGGCTAGACTCGGTGGTCAAAAAAATAATCTCAAAACAAGGCAGTGGCAAACCACTGCCATACTGGTGCCAAGAATCTACACTGGTCCATCCATATTATCACCAGAAGTCAAGCTTGGTTGGAAGATCCCTATGCTTTGAGGCAGAGGTTCCCAAACTTTCTCAGTTCACTGCACCCTTAATTTTTCAGTAATTTTTTCACAGAACAGCTAGTGGTTCCCAAACTGTATGACATGGCACACTATAGGGCATCATAGCAACTCACTAACAATTTCATTTATTCAATAGTAAAATATCCTGCAGTGCCCCTGTGACTTCAGTGCAGCATCTCAGGAGGCTGTGGTGCATAGTTTGGGAATTGAAGCTTTAAGGGAGTATATACACACTGCGTCCAGTGATTGTCAAGTTTTCATTTTTATTTTAGAATGTGATAAATATTCTTCTGTTTACCTCTCTGGCTGCCTGCCTGTCTGCCTTTCTTTCTCATATGCATGTACCAGAATCTTATTTTCATTTTCAACATAGATTTTCGAGGTGGGCTTGAAGAAAGTAACATTATTAGTGTTTCACAAAAATCAATCAAAACAATCACAATTTCCACAAAGTATATGTTTGAATGTATGACTCATTTTAACTGTGCATACTTATTCTTTGAATGAAAGTTTTTACATGAAGCTGACTGCTGGTTATTCCAATTTAATTTAATCAGATAATGTCATAAAAATATAAAAAATATAAATGACTAAATGCATGATTCTCCAAAAGTTAATATATTTTATACTGGAAAGTGAGGATCATGATTTGTGCAGAATTCTATTAATACTTGCATAGATCTCAAGGACTGTTTTCATAATTTAGCATTTATTAATGACTTTTTTTTAAAAAATAAGAAATAAATAACATTGTGGCAAGATTGTATAGTTTTTATGTTTTTATGCTATCTTGGTTGTGATGGAAAAATGTTAAACCTGCAAGATCTGAACACAGCTACAAAATTTTTATTGACCTTAAGGGCCTGGTAATTCAATACAGCAATCAATTGATAACAAGAAAACCAATTGAATTAAATCATTCAATTTTTAGAAGAGCTGGTTGTGAGGTAGCATCAATTATAAAAGCCCTCCAGTGAAACTTGTCTTAAATGAATCATCCACCTTTAGTATAAAACTGAATTGTTGATACATGTATTGAAACCTTCTGTTCTTTCTTCTTTTTTTCTTTCTTTTTTCTTTTAAAGGGTATTTTATTTCCCCGAGTCACCCGAACAGCATTGTTTTTTGAAAGACATTTTTATTTATACAAATGGGACTTCATGTGTTACTTAAATTCATATTATGCTTATTAAAACTTTATCCTTCTGTCAAAAGTGCCACACAGACCACTTGTTGTTAACACGTTTCCTCTTACTCCTATCTGTTAATTGTACAGGGCAGAGATCATTCATTCAGTAATGTTTCTGTAGTGATGTTATTAAAAAATGTATTTTACATCGTGTACTCTTTCAAGACAATCATCAGAGCCAATCTATTACTTTTACTTTCCAGAATCCTATCCCAAGCACCCTGTTTACTAACAACTTTGCTATAGTTAAAACAGTAAAAATACAGCTGTTCCACTGTAGGCATTAGTGTGTATTCCAGGTTTCCAATAAGATCGGGGTGTATATGCTGTTCTTTTCTCCTCTACTTTTTTTTTAAAAATTCATCACAAGTATGTTCAGCTGAGTTATTGTGACCATCCCAAATACCAGCTGAATGGAGATTTAAGTCCTGCTTTTTCTAGTCTAGTTCTGATGTACTTTGCACTCTAGCACACTGACTGATAATTAAACTAAAAAAAAAAAAAATTAGTCCCTGCTATTACCATACTGCTTACTCTAAATGTGTTAACTATAATAGTAGCATATTTTTCTATATTTAACCTTTCCTTTGTTGCCCTCCCTATATCAGCTTGTATACTAGTGACTAGAAGTCCTTTTGAATAGGGGACTTTTTTTTCTGCTTCCGCAAACTTTTATGTTCATGATGGAATGTAAATACATAAATATAAACAATAATAATAGATCAGAGTTTTACATTTTAATTTTCTGCTGCTGAATATTTTTATATGCAGGATTAAAATTGAAACCATTTGAGGGAGTGTTATAATAATACATTAATAGTTCCAATATCTGAATATAAGGTTTATCACATCTTTGCATGAATCACATGAACTTGAGGCAAATGAATAATAACAAATAAAACGGTCATTGGAGCCAGTGTTGCAGGCAGATATGCTTCTGTGATACAGGTAGTCCTCGATGTACAACCATTCATTTAGTGACTCTTCAAAGTTACAAGGGTGCTGAAAGAAGTGACATATAACAAGTCCTCACACTTAAGACTGTCACAGACTCCCCACAGTTGTGTGATCAAAATTTGGGCACTTGGCAAGCAGCAAGTATTTACAATGCTTGGAGCATCCTGGAGTCACATGATCACCATTTACGACCTTCCCAGCTAGCTTCCGACAAGCAAAATCAGTGGGGAACTGTGTGGTTCACTTAATGATTGCTGTGATTCCCTTAATGGCCACCACACAAAAAAATGTCGTAAAATTGGGTACAGTCACATGATGCCTCACTTAACCACACCACTTAATGAATTTTCCAGTCCCCATTGCGGTCGTAAGTTGAGGACTACCTGTAGTATTGACATAAGATTGCTAATTATTGGAGTGTAAAAGGCAATATGTTAATATATGCTGTGTAATGGAACAGAGCAGTGAGGAGCAAAACTGAAACATGTACAGGTAGTCCTTGCTTACCAACCCACTTGTTCAGCAACTGTTCAAAGTTATGAAGGTGCTGAAAAAGGAGACTTATGACCGGTCCTTAAAGTTGCGGCTTTCACAGCATCCCTGTAGTCATGTGATCACGATTCAAGTGCTTGGCAACCAGTGCGCATTTACGACAGTCATGGCATCCTGCAGTCATGTAATTGCCATTTGTGACCTTCACAGCCAGCTTCTGACAAGCAAAGTCAATTGGGAAGCCAGCAGGAAGTCATAAGTTGCAGTCACATGATGTTGTGCTTAACGATCTGCAGTGATTCGCTTAATGACTGCAGCTGGAACTGATGTAAGTCAGCACGGTTACATAACATTTCACTCAACTACCACACCATTTAATGATGGAGTTGCTGGTCCCAATTGTGGTCAGTAAGTGAGGACTACTTGTATCTGTTTCTTCTAGTCATGTAATTCAGTCCCCAGTATTCTGGGTGTCAGCCCTTTCCTCAGGTGTCACCATGTACTGTGCAAACATTAGTCTAGAGAAGACACATAGAGCGTTGGAAACCAGGACACTGTGCTTGAAGGAGGAGCTACGCTTTGCAGCCCATTTCCAGCTCGTGCATTGAAGTGCCAATCAGTGCAGCCGGTGTGGCATTTCAGCAGTGACATGCACTCTCAGGAAACAACTGTATTGCAGCCACGGTTGTAAGTTTGTTTCACCCCTTGCACAGAAATTGAAAATGAATTATTCTTGTACTACTCTGCAATTTAGTTTCCAATTTAGAGATTAACTTCTCTGTCTGAAAAAATAACAAATGGAGCATCTCTACCTGTTAGCAAGATGCTGTATCTCATGCTTTTGCCCGATACATGGCCCAGCTTTGCTTGCAAATCTGACTTTTATATTGCAATATTAATATAAAATATATAAAATTCATATTTATTGGACTGTTGTGAGGAGGCATACAAAGAGGGAAAGTTCCATGAGATTTCAGTCCAGTGTTAAGAACAGATTGTCAATATCATGGTTTTCTATCCAAGCTATTAAGTAACATACTGGATTATAGCATTAACTATTTCTGTGTGAAAAAAGTAGAGTCTCTAAACTCCGCTCATATTTCATATGACTATACATTTTGAAGCTTTCCTTATGTAGAGGTTTCTGTGTAATACTCACATATATACTCACAGATAAGCCCATCTGCGGATAAGTCGACCCTCAAGTTTTTAACCAAACTACCATAAAAACTGTGCTACCCACAGATAAGCCATCCCTCGAAATGTTTTAATTTTCACAATTGGCTTATCTGCAAGTATATACAGATACTTTTGAAAAGTGTTACTGTCTATACTCGTGGATAAGCCCATCCGCGGAGGAGCCAAACCAATTTTGGGAGTGTATTTTGAAGCCTAAAGTTCTCGACTTATCCGTAAGTATAAGTGGTATCAAGAACCTTTCTGTTAAAAAAAAGATGAATGGAGGCAAAAGATTCAAGTTTCTTTGTATATAAAAAGTCATTTAAAATTATGAGAATTGTCAGAATTGTCATTTCTGTGGTATGAACATTTCTTTGTTCATACCACAGTTGAATAAAGATAGTTCAGAATATGGTAGTAAGTGCAACAGATTCATTTCCCCGACCATTTTGTGTTCAGACAGATTCCCTCTCCTCCATTTCCCATTTTTAAAATAAAGTCTATTTTGGCTTATGGAAAACAGTAATGTTGCCCCAAACATAAGTATTAATGATTCTTATTATCCATGGAAATGTTGTTGAGTTCCATACTGTAATGTATAGTTGAGAAGGTTAGGTGTTTTGCTGGTAGGTATGAAGAAAGATGCAGTTGAGATTTTTGGACAAAGAAAAAGGTGTCTTACTCTGGTACCATTATTTTTAATAATTTTAACAATAATTTGGAGTACATTATTTCATATGGTTTTTTTCAATTTTTTGTAAGACGTCTGATTAACAAGTGTGATACGCACAATCTGTCTGCTATAATTCCTACAATAAAGTTTGGAAGTGTTCTCCTGTAAAACAGTACTGCATGATCCAAAATGATTTTCTTATTCCTCAGTATTTGTTTTATTAATATGTTATACTGATAAATATGTCTTTCAAACACCAAAGTAAACTCATTCAAAGTTTCACGTGATAATAGTTTCCTCTCCCCCCCCCCCCCCCCGCTTTTTTAAAAATTATTCTTTCAGTTTATCCCATGAAGAGCCCTCTCACAGCCATCCTCTCTATGGACATGGAGTATGCAAATGGCCAGGCTGCGAAGCAGTATGTGAAGATTTCCAGTCTTTTCTAAAGTAAGCAATCTATATGTACATGCAAATGTGTCTGAATAAGTATGTGTACATGTGGATGTACATTTGTGTATTGCTGTATTACATGTGTTTGAATATTGGACCATATTGTTAAACATGGTCCAACTGTAGGATGAGCTAATGTATATCTTCTTCTGTCAGGGGGTTCTCTTGAAATGGGGCCATTAGAAATACATAGAGCATGTGAGTCCCATTGTCCATAGTGGAGGTTGTACAAAAGGATATTTAAAGTGGACTGAAATCACATTTTAAAGTCAGAAGCTGCTAGATTCATTTTTTTACTGTATATGTAGATCTCGTCCAGAAATGTTTGGGATTTAGTGCTCTGCTCACTTTAATTTCCTAGATTTTTTCCAGAGTTTGCATCTAACATAGAAACTTAAGGAACAGAGTTTTCTGTGCAGTGCAAATATCTAGAATCAGTGCAAACAGACAAGTCTAGAAGTTCATTGGAACATTTAAACCCAGAATCACATTTTCTTAGATGCATGCATACATCTGGTATGCTTTGAGAATGGCCTGTATCCAGAGTTTTCCAGAATTGGATTGGTTGATTATTGAAATAATAAATCTTGTTAATTCAGAGTTAAATAAATTAGTGATTCTCAGATCTGGAAATAAGGGAATTATCCTATTTTAGATGAAGTTTTCCTTTGAGGGACTCAGTGCTCTTAGTGAGGCAATAAGTAAGGCTTACTTAGTACTTAAAGCTATAAGTAGAGATACCAATTTTGTTCAGAGTATCATAACAACTTTTTTTGGACTGGGATAACATAATTTCAGAGATTCCACACATTATTAGATGTACTCTGTGTGAGGCTTTCCTTGAAGATGGACCAGAAGCTGCAGCTGATGCAAATTTCAGCTGATAAATTGTTAAGTTGGGCAACTAAATGGGATCATGTGACACCAATCCATAAGGCATTATCTTTACTCTACAAAGCCCAACTGAAGATGTTAATACTAATGCATGCAGCTCTAAATTGCTTAAAACCCAGGGATTTCTCTCACTGTTGGCTCATCCAAGCGTTTGCTAATCAAAATTGGTCCAGGACCAAAACAAATGTATATTTTTTTTAGTTAATGTTTTTAGAATCGATAGGCTTTTGTCATAATTAAATGTTGTAACTTTGTTTTTTTAATTGTGTGTGGTTTTATTATCAATGTTCTATTGACTGCTGTGGACTTCTTTATAAGATAAGCATCACCATCATCATAATCGTAGTTATGTTAATGCCTGAAACTGAATTGAGGTTTTAAGCTAATTTCCCATTCACAGTTGGAATTCAGCTCAAAAACAGTTGATTTTATAACAGTCATGGTTAAGATGCTGCTAAACAATGGAAACAAATTCCATTTTTGAAAGTGAGTACTTAGCCAATGATTCTAATACTGTTTTGGGTCTGGAGTTTCAAACATGGCTAGTAAGTTCCATAATTTTGTGTGAAATCTAAACCGAGAGGGGAAACCGCTGGAACGTAAGAACGGTCAAGTTTCCATTGTTTGGTGCAGAAAATCACCATAATACAGCCTTCTCTAACCTGGCGCTCTCCAGTTGCATGGGGACAGTTCTCAGTATTCCCACTGAGTGTGATCAGCATTGAGCTGCAGTTTCAGCATATCAGAAATGTGTCAGGGTGGGAAGGGCCCCTTAATAAAACACAACTGGGCAATGTATCAATTCATCCATGAGTTTGTTGCTATTGATACATCTTCTCAGAATGCAGAAGAATATATGCCCATGAGGGACTCCCATCTTAATGACAATGAAGTTTGCTTTCTAAATAAAGAAGATACAGGTGATCTGAACTGAACTGAGATTAGCTACTTACTTTGGGGTCCTGAGTACTTCTTTCTGGCTGTGACTTTTGCCCTGCCTACTGACATATTAAGTAAGGCCATCTACTCTCCAGAGCAGGTTTTGCCTACTTGGCATGATAATGGCTGGATGGGCATATTTTGCAAATGTCAAGGGTCAGAGACTATCAGAAATGATGCTGAAAACTCCCAAATGGCTGGAGATGGATAATAGTGGATCCTTGGTGCTGCCTGGGCTTGGTTGTTTGCTTGCAAACTCCATAGTTCAACCATGACTTACATATATTATCTTCTCTTGAAAGGATAGTGATACATATACATATACACACAAATATACCCATGGCATTGTTTTGCAAGAGAAAATAAGCTTTGTAACCAATGTATAACCTTGACAATATTGGCACTTGTGATTTTGCAAAGTTTGGTAGGAATAGTAACAGTTACAATTGAAATATATTTAAAAATCAAATCATTTGCCAATTATAGATGGAAGCTTGCTGGTAAAACTAAGGAATGCTTGTGTGAAAGAAACATTTTAGGCACACACTGCAATGTTTTCACAAGTGTTTTTATCATGGTAACATCTTGTTTACTTTAGTTGCTTGCCTAAAACTACTTGGAACATGTTAAGAAAACATTTCAGGAAAGCTTCTAAAAGAGGCTTTTGTTTAGCACCAACTGCAAGGCTGCTCAGCTCACAAAGGTGTTAACTTTCAACCCCTTAAGCACTTCCACATGAAATTCCAGAAACTATGCTTGTGGTTTTAGAGAGAAAAAGTACCCATAAGGATACCTGCTATATGCTAATACATTTTAAAGGAAGGCTGGAAATCAGAAATGGTTTCAGATGCATTAATGACTGCTGTCTGCAGATCAGAAAGTTCTAAACTGAAGTTATCTTTAAGATTAATTGAACAATCTGGGTAAAAATTATTCAACATTAGAATGAAGTGAAGGAACCTTTCAAAGATATATATGATAGTCTATTTCATACACATGGTCTTTCCCAATTTATTTTGTAAAGTGACCACGATTTAAAGGTGAGTTTTTTGTTATTTATTCCCTCTAAATGCTGGCAGAAGACAAATACGTATGAAATGTGATCAGCGTAATTATACCCTAAGAAATTAACAACAAAAAAATTAGTTCATTTTATTTCCTAGTTTGTGGAACATGTTAAGTTGGAATTCAGTTCTGAATGTCACAGATTTTACAGCATCCTGATTAACCTTGCTGACATTGTATAAAGTTCAAGACCTTTCTAATAGTTGCATCAGTTAGAAAGGTCAGAATGGTCTAAATACCACACTGCCCTCTAGTGATCTCTACAATATTGGAAAGAAAAGTTTGGAAGGAAGTGCCAGAGGTACTATTGCAGATAACTTTATAATGAGTTCTGTTTTTGTAAAAGTAGATAAAAGAACAAGAGGTTTTGTTTGTGGTCATTGTGCTAATTCTTCTGGTCAGCTTTCTAGATGAGCAAATGACTATGAAATGTATGTATTGGAAGTTGTATACTCTTGGAACTAGACCTGTTGTTTGCAACAAATGAGAGTTTTAGATGTTTGGTTTATGTTTCCTAGGGTTAATTTCCGGTATCTGATCGGAAAGCATTACTTAGGAGACAGTGATCATCCTTGTTTCGTACTTTTTATTGACACCATCTCCCACGTTATTGCTGTGTCTAAATGGTAAAATTTATTATTAGTAATAGTGTCAAAAAAGTCTGAGACAGCAATTTTCCTTTCAATAAAAGTAGTTAAAAACCTTTTAGAAAATCCATAATTTTGATTGCTGGTACTTCATAAATGTAAAACTGTACTTTTTAGCTGTCTCTTTAGGGAAAAATGAGTTTTATCACCTGCGGTACCTGGGTTAATGAAATTGTATGTTGGAATCTAGCCGGAATGAAAGATGAGATCATTCAGTGGTACTAGTATTAGCAACAAGTTTCATAAGAGGCCTGACTCCTTAAGCCATGTATTATTGTAATGGTAAGGAATAGGACTTTTTTGTTCTCTTTAGCATTTCTGCATTTTGAAGCAAGACTGAACAATTACAATGGGAGTCCAGTGATTAGAAACTTCAACAAAACTGAAACATAAATATGGACATTGTTGTTTTGAAACTGGATTTGTTCGCTTTTAATTTGAAACTCAGTTTTCTGTCCAGCCCTTTATAAAAATGCTACTCATAGTTCATATTTTAAATAAGTGCCGCTTTTCCCCCCTACATCTAATTGTTCGTGTGGATATTATCCATCCAGGAAATCTCTTACTAAACAAATATGAATCCAACAGGATATGTGTGTGTGTGTGTGTGTGTGTGTGTGTGTGTTTTCTTTAACACAGGCAGTCCAGGATATTGAAGACTTTTTTTTTTTTTTGCAACCTGTACAAGTATTTATTTTATGTGTGCTGCATGCTTTCAGAGAAAGAAAATCAGCTGTCAAAATGGACTGTTTTAGTCCAAGGAGAAGTATTTGATTTACTGCTTCTTTAACCTTAGCTTTCTTCGCACATGCATGTGTATTTGCATTGTGTGCGTGTATTTCATTCATATGGTGAAAAAGGAAAGCTGGTGTATGCCCTGACACAGAAGTTTAAATTCAAGCCTGTTTCTTTCAGAGTTTTTTTGAGTTGTTTAAGCAGTACAAGAGTCTGAAAGGCTGTCAGGAGAAGCTGTTAGTTTGAAATGTGCCTGGAATCTCTAACCAAGGTTGCCGTAAAAAGCTAAAGTATTTTCTCCATAATACACAATTAGAATTGCTTCCTGTTAATTACCTTGTTCCAAAAGTAGCATTACATAAACTCAGAATATAGTTCATTAAGCTAACTTAGACTAACACATCTGAAACTTCTGCATATTGCTTTTTGGTGACTGTGTGTGCATGAGCACATAGGGTATGTATGTTTGTGTATGGGTGTGTGTGTGTTTAATTTTAAAGATGACACTTGCCTGCCTATGGCTCCATTTATATCCTGTGGAATACAGTGCTGTTTAAACACACTGCTACATCTGCATTTGATTTGCAGAACTTGGTGTAAATGATTATACCAGATTTTTGATGACTCAACAATAGATGCGTGAAAAACAGAATTGGTTAAGCTGCCCATTTTACAATTCAATAATAATAACTACTGTGCCATAAAAATGTGTTTTAA